GCAAAAGTTCTAAGTATAAGCAAGTAAAACTGTACGATGTTTGACATCGGGAAACACAATTATTTTGCAATTTGGAGGCAAAGATTTCACACCAATTGCTAACTTCCGATTCTTCCAACTGGTATGACTCCTTTAATTAGTCGTGCTTCAGCGATACACGAAGCAATGGAATGCATGAAGAAAACTGCCGGTGACATTCAGCCGGAGTGTGAGGCTCGCTGCGAAGTGCAAGCGAAGATGCTGGACGATGCATCGAAGAACAAAATTGATACCTTGTTCAGTGGACCCCGAGCTTGCAAGTAAGCTGAGAAATCTTGGCTCAAACGAAAAATTGTGCATGATCTATGGAATATGTAGTTGAACATGTGTGGTCTTTTTTAGCTCTACGCGATGCCTACTAACTTGTTTCAAAGAAAGCATTGACAAGAGATGTCAAACTGGGCAGACGAGAATGCTGGACACTCTAGTAAAGGAGGTAATGCGTGATTACGGTGAAGGCAAAGGTTGGGAAGATGCCATCAACTACATAATGCCCGAGTCTTGCAAAGAGAAGGTACTGCAGCATTTTTGGTTGGATTAAATGAGTGATTGTATAGGCTTATGAAAATAAACAGCCAGTGCAAATTGAGGATTCGCCATCGGACTTGCCTAATTCTGTGAAGAAGGTGAATTTTTTCAACACCTTTAGTTATTGAAAATGGCTAGTATTAAGGTGAACAAAAGTGAACGAAAGAAGAAGAACTTCGTGAAAAGCAAAGCTGACCAAAATGCAGGGAAGGAGTCACTGGAAAAGCCATCGAAGAAAGTGGCCGAGGATAATGTAGTAAAGGAAACAACAGTGATAGTTGACGGCGAGGTACTGGTATATTTTATCTAAGTATATGTCAAACCATGAGCACGACTAACAAGGGAAGGAAGGTTGGTCGAAGTGGCCTTTTGCAGTGAGGTGTAAACTGCCTTGTAGAGCTTTAAACGCTGATTCCAAATCTACCTTTGCTATATGCTGCGGAGTTCTGGCCGAGGAGTTATGAGGGTTTTTGTGAGTAAAAATCTGAATGCAAAATAAGGTAAAATCAGTCGTAATCTTTTCCCAATGTTCATATGAGGCAGCAGCGAATTAGTATATTTGAATCAAGAATATTTATTGCACTGAGTGACCCGACTACCAATTGAGCCCTATAAAAAATGTTACGACTGATTTTAGCCTACTCCTGCATTCAGATTTTTACTCACTAAAACCTTCACAACTCCTGATCCAGAAGCCCGCAGCAGATAGCAAAGCTTGACTTGGAATCAGCGTTCCAAACTCTACAAGGCAGTATACATCTCATTTCAAAAGGCCACTTCGACCAACCTTCCTTTCCTTGTAAGACCGAGGGGAAGATGGTCCTCCTCCCTAAGAAGGATGGCGAATTTTGAATCTGGTCTGTATGGGTCATAAAAACGGCTCTGAATAATTGAAAGAGATAGTTTGGTTATGTATGATGTTTTTGAGTTCACTATCCCCCCCCCACCACCTTTAGGGCTGTTTGCTGGCATTTTCTTGAAAAGGTTCCCACAAACTTTTCATGGCTGAGCCCCGTTGCGTGGGAAAATCTGTCAACCCCTCCTCCACACAACATTTAGTCAAGATGATACACCAGAAAGCAGTCTTGGATTTATTGGGTTATTTTTGACGTAGCGCTCTACACTTAATTTGATACACGTGGGAATTTGTGGGAACGATTTTTTAATCACAAAATATTTGTAATATCCAGAGCTCGTTCATAAGAGTGTCACGGTATTGTGTAAATTTGGGTTTTTGTCTTGAAAGCAAATTTAAATGGAAGAACCATGGCCGGAGACAAAGACGATTGTACTAATTAGTGGAAAGATGCATCGCCCCAAAAAGTTAAAGTTGCTAGGCCATATAGTCGCTTTTAGTATAACCTTCAAAAATACCTCTACATGCAAATTTTAACACTCACAATATGGCAAATCACAGATTCGCACATTACGTTATGAGTTGTTTGACTGGCTGGGACATCCCGTTCAATCACCTGATTTCGAGACATTGGCCAGGATAATAACTGTTAGTTACTATTTTTGCGTTCATTGAAGGTTATTGCAGTTCACTTGTCATCTCATATTTTTTCCAGCAGAAGCTCCTCCCTTCTTCAGAAAAAACGGAACACCCGAAGAGCATCAGTGTTAGAAAGCATCCTTCCAAATATGGAATATATTTTCAACAAAACAAAAGTAACTTCGATCACTGATGATCTTGTTGTCTCTTATTCAGAAAGCTTTGCAGTCAGCGGAAATAGCAGAGTTGAAGATTTACCGAAGAACGGGAAATCACCGGAATGGCTACCGGAAGAGAGACCTGAGATCATCTTCAGGGAAGTTGAAACTGTAAAGGAAGGGGTCTCGGTGACAATCGGCTTAGCCATTTTTGTCGCTACTGTGCTGTATTGGCTTTGGGAGACCGCGCGCGATATAAACTGAGCGTATTAAGTTAATCATCCTGAACATATACAGTCATCGCGAAGTAGTTTCTTGTGATATAAATCTAGTCGTTGTGTATGTCATTGTGCCTTTGAACGCCTGTGAATGCTTTGAAAGAAAATCAAGCCTGTTGTGATATCTTTATTATGTATGCCTATACACTATATATGTATTAACTATCTTGTTGGTTAACCGGGCGATCGAAAATAAAATAAGTTTGCCAGTTCTGGAAGCTTTGGCGTCGGAGAGTCTGACCTCTACCGTGACAAACGACACATTTTCCCCCTATCATGGATTGTTTGAAACGACTGCATTTCTTCTCCTTTTGTCAGCGTTTGACTCCCATCCAAGCACAGCTACGATGGTCTTTTTTTCAAGGGTGGACGAAACGATGCCGGAAGAGCGCGTCAAAGGAAATTGCTCAGTGGAAGGGCAAACTACCGCGTCCACCATCCTCCGATAAACCGGAGAGTATTTCTCGCTTTCGAAGCGATCATTTGCGAATAAATTGAGTAGTGGCTTAGGTAGGAGGGCCATTGTCTTTCATCGTCTCACCATCCTCAAATTAGGACGGATGGCGTCTCTATCAGGCACAAGTACTATCACTCTAAATTGACTAGACTGCTTGTAAGCTTAAGCCATAGTCATAGTTACTTGCCCCAATGGTGTATATAGTGCAATGATCTTGGCGAGTCCTAATCACTAGAATGACGGCTTTATAGCGGGTATATGTCAAGATGAACGATAGCTGGTACCAGTGGCGCGCGGGGTCATGAATTGGCAATAACGTGTTCGCTCGAAGCTCCGCCCCACTGCGGTGGACGAGTTTCTCGGACGATACCATCAAGTAAAAATAACTTTTGATAGCGAGATATAAGCTTGTTGCAAGCTGGGGTGAAGCTTGACTATTTGCAGAACCTTGTTTTGATTTTTTGTTTCTTTTTTTGGCAATCAATAAACAGCTGATGTGTTGGTCGTGAAACTCGAGATATTTGCTAATTTACCTATAAATGACCGAGTGACTCCTGGATATCTAACTTTGAAGTGTGAAATCTATCTAGAACACCTCAGGCATGATTGTTCGAGTGACCTCACATCTTACGACTAGTTCACACGCAATTTCAATTGAGTTACAGATCGATTTGTATTTAGGATAGCAGTTTTTGGAAGAAAATAAAAGAATTTTTGTTTGATTAAGGTTTTAGAACTTATTTTACCGATGAAAGAGATAATGGTGTTGGTCATTTCAGCAATAATAATAGCATTTCTCGATAAGCTGACTTCTTTTTGAACTAAACTTGAGAGTGGACAACACAGCATATTTAATATGGTAACAGATGTGAATAGAGAAAAACACTTTTCCAAGCATTTTCGAAACAATTTCCTCATACCTGCAGTGAAAAATCATTTTGGACAAGCCTACTAGGAACAAATTATTGAAATACATTGGATCTATGAATGGATCTATGGATCACAATCTATGAAAAATTGTTCCTAGGCTAAAGAACGTATAATATGAGAGGCTTTTGAAAAAATGGGTCCGGATAACGGAATAGTACCGAAAAATGATCTGAAAACTGATCTGCAATTTAACTGAAATTATGAAATCTGTTGTTATTCAAATTGCAAATAACTGAACAAGCATGAACGAAGTATTAGAGAGTTTTCCAATAGCTGCAACCATTTCTTGGCTAACTAACAAGGGGGCGGAGCGATCAGCGCACCGCGTACGGTATCCAGCTGGCGGCTGGTACATGCTATCGTTCATCTTGACCGCCACCCCTTTATAGCTACCCTAACATCTCACAAATAAGTTCTCTCATCGGATAAGTTCGCCTTCCGATAAGTGCTTTTTTGACTCAGATTAGGCCCGCCTTCAGATAAGTCCGTTTTCTTTCCATTATAACTATCCTGAAATCTTGTCAGATAAGTCCGGACTTATCTGTGAACGGGCTTGTCTGATGGGAGGACTTACCTGCAAGATTCTTGGCGGTGTAAAGGTGCATTTTCATCGCTTTTCTTGTCAAAAAAGTGGACTTATTTGTTAGATTTTAGGGTAATTTGACAATACAGTTCCTCAACATACAAACCTGTGCCCTCCTTTCTGTGACGTCGTTCAACGATGAGGAGACTAGCTTTACACGTTCTCCACGCGGATGACTGAAATTAGTCTGCTACACTGCTAATGTAATTCACTCGGCCAAAACCAAATTCTTTTCTCTGATTGTCACAGGTCTTTACCGATTTTGCTCACTTGGATGGCTATATGTACTTCCATTTCCCGACTGTTTAAAAACTGTTAAGCTTATATTTACACAGTTCCCAATATAGCAACGACGACAATGCATGCCTCATTGTTGGTTATGATTGCCCGAAAAAACTTCGTTGTGTCTACACTAACTGGTTCATCAGCATTCGGTTCATGGGAATATATTTATCGTGTTCTCAGTCGTCAAAACACTTACTTAGATACTTATAAGGGAAGCTACCTAACTTAGCTTGGCCTTTTGGCAAGGGACATATATATATATTTTGAATCAGCTTCAAACGCTGATTCCAAATATGCTAATCTAGCCGCCGAGCACCATTCCGAAGCGAGTTATGGGCTTTTTCCCGCGCAAAATTGATATATTACTGAATATGGGAAGACCGCCTGTCGATTATTATCTGCAAGAAGAAAGTGCTGAGGTATCAAAATAACACAATTCCAATCTTTTCTCAATAAAAAGAGACTTAAGCAAGTGTATTAGCACTTGAATGACGATGCCGTGATGCTAATTCGATGAGTATGTCATTTTTGCGCGGAAAAAACTCAAAACTCGCTTCGGAATGGTGCGGGGCAGCTAGATTAGCATATTTGGAATCAGCATTTGAAGGTTGGTCCAAAATATATATGTTCCCTGCCAAAAGGCCGAGCTAAGTTAGGTAGCTTTCCTTGTTAGATGGCTCGGCTTCACGTGATGTGAGGGACCCAGCACAAAAATGTCTATTTCTCCCTGTCCCTCGCTTCAAACGTCCAGTCTTCTGTGATGTCGGTGGCTGCGTCCATGAGTTCAAAATGCGAGCGTGGTCAGCTAATTTGTGTTATTTTGTATCTCAGCACCTTCCTCTTGCAGATATCAACCTACAGGCGGTCTTCCCATATTCAGTAATATACCAATTTTGCGCAGGAAAAAGCCCATCATACTCGCTTCGGAATGGTGCTTGGCAGCTGAGGATAGCATATTTAGAATCAGAGTTTTAAATTGATTTAGAATATATATTCGTTGTGAAAAGATAGAACGAAGTTGGATAGCTTCCCTTGTTAGAATTACCATCGATTCACTGTAGATGACGATCTGCTTAATTTTAGCTGAAAATTTTCAGCTTTTTCGTGGAAGGCATTTTCCCATAAGGCGGACAACTGGAAATGCACGTCGTCGTCAACGTGTTAAAAACTCCAGATTATAAGCAGTTTATAATTTTTTTAGCGTGTGCATAGGAACGATAGATTAGCATGCTTGCGCGTTTCAAAAATATTTAATCACTAGGATCCTTCCTGTACAGGTAAGCTTCAGTTTATCCATACTAGGCAAAAACTGTCCGAATCATTTCCGATTCTATAGATGCTAGCGAAAATGCTATTTCTTCCTATGTCCTCTTGTCTGTTTCTTTTACCCGTTCATCCTTTCGTGTCACAGGAAGTCACTAACAGATCCCCCTCCTATTTACAGTATCAGCGCTGGACGCATTCGTGCACAGTGTCCCCAGCAACCGGACGACGGACGGAAGTATCTAACCGAGCGGTGGCTGGTTGCAGCCACTGATCGGGGTCGCCCGATCGATGATAGTGATAATGCGAATTGTCTCGAATCGGGCACACATGCACGCTCTCGTCCACGCGCGCACGCAGTGTAACGTGCGCGCTGCCCGCCGCACTCTTCACGCGTCCGCTCGTCATCGCGGCGCATGCCTTGCGGCAATTGGCATTCTTCCAATGATGCGCCGCGACAATCATGATGAAAGACATAGTCCGGATGACGACTACTCTTGAGGTCCGCTTAAAAGCTGTCACTTTCGTGACATTCACAACGTCAATATCCAGTACTAATGTAAAAAATATCTAGAATTCTGCTTTGAAAGTGGTTTCGCGAGAGGCAAGTGAAAGTTAAATCAAATTTTCCAAAAAGATTTTCTGTGCATGTACTCTATGAAAAGAATGCGAAAAATTTCATGATCATGTCCACGCGTAAGGGTTCATTCCTAAACTGCAATTATTCCAACCAGGGGGCAGAGTATGTACATCAATCTCCCGTTCGGGTAAGTGTTCCCGTACGGGTGTAACCCAGCCAGACGCGAGGGCGCCAACGCCCATGATGCGCGAAAGTGGGCGCCTAATGTGCGAGAGCCCGCTCAGGCAGAATCGGGTCTGCAACGCCTGGTTACCTACCCTTCTCGCTTGACTATCCCTGTGTGGAATAAGCGTCTCTTTGGCCGAAAAACGCTAGTGAATCGAACGATTTATTCAATAGTCTACGATTACGATTTAATAATTGTTATGTTGCAAGAGATTCGTCTGATGAGATTTGACTTAATTGAATCTTGCGATTTACAAGAGTTTCAGAGCCCGATCGCTCCATTCCGGGCTTTGACTCACTTGTAAATCTCAAGATTAAATCAAATCAAATTTCAAATTAGACAAATTTTTTGTAACATAACAATTATCAAATTTCACTTGTTAACTAGTTGGTAACATTCAGTTTGCTAACGTTTTCGACCACTTAATCAAAGAGGGCTTTATTGCACCCAATTTCTTGTCAAGCGAGATCGGGTAGGTGACCACATTGCAGACCTACCCGATTCTGCCTGACTGAGTTCTTGCGCAGTCAGGCGCCCACGTTCGCGCATTATGGACCTTGGCCTTGCGTCTGACTGAATTACGACTTATACAGGAACACTCACCCGAATGGGAGATCGGTACATTCCGCCCCAGACACGGTAATTTATACTCACTATGTATAGGCCAAGCTTCATTAACCAACCTTTCATGTTGGAAGTTTCTTAAGGCACATTTATCTCTAAATTGTAAATTAGAAACAGCAATATACTGAGAGCATAGGGCCGATTACCACTGCTGTTAATAACCAGCGCTTGAATATATCCGAAGTAAGTAAAGACGGTAGTTTTTAACTTCTACCAGGAAAAATTGAAGGGACAAAAGGCTGTGGTGATTAGTTCAAGTGTAACT